CAAACCCTCGGCGGGAGCGCCACCACGCTCCCAAGCGGCGCACTGTAGCAGTGCGCCACCAAGCTGGCCCAAAATGTGTTTTAAGAGTCAAATAAAAGTAGGCTTTGCAATTAGAAGAGGTTTGTAAATAAATGTGTGCAGCATTGGTTTGCTCTCTATTTGAAAGGAAAATACCTATCTACTTGGACTCCTTTTGAAAACCGAGTCAGGAAAAGATGAAACAACATTCTGTCAATGGTAAGAAGTTTGATAAAATGGTACTTTTAGTTGTGGTGAGGTTAACATGTTTAGGATAAACAACACACTGTGCAGCAAACTCAGGAGTGCTATGGTTGCTTGTCAACTATGAACGAAGAATTATTATTATCTGTACAAGTGATCACAGTCAGACACAGAATCATCAAAATGTAGAGATAATCCAGAAAACATAGAACTCTCAAACATCTTTGCAACCAACTCTTTTAAGGTAATACCTCCCCCTTTTAAAAAGACACCAAATTTGGGCTGGCCCGTGGCTCACTCGGGAGAGTGTGGTGCTGATAACACCAAGGCCCCAGGTTCGGATCCCATATAGGGATGGCCAGTTTGCTCACTGGCTGAGCGTGGTGCTGACAACACCAAGTCAAGGGTTAAGATCCCTTTACTGGTCATCATTTTTTAAAAAAAAAGACACCAAATTCTAATTGCTTCCATTTATTTAGGGTTGGTAACATGAACTGTAAACAAGTTTCATGTTAAGTTTTATGTATTATATGATAAATTGGGATTATGCATGGTAAACAGCACTTAGTGGATAGCATTGAACATTCAGACATGGCATGCAGACTCAAACAAGCTAGGAGGTGTGGCACCCAGATCTGTTGCACAAGGTGGCTGATTTCTACCTTCCAGGTAACTCCCTGGCAGGACCTTTACAAAGCAGCATCCAGCCACTGCATATTTGTTTGCATGGCAGGAAGAAAGCTGGGGGACCAGAAAGTCCTCTTTGAAGATCTCATGTCTACAGACCTTACCATGCATTGTACAAGATTCAAATAATATACTTGCCTAACTTTCCCCCTCAATTTGGGGCTGCAGGGGCAGTAAAATAAGTCATTTCCATGTCTTCAATTTTCTGCAATGCACTCACCTCTTTACAGATGTGAGATCTGGAGCAAGCATTACAGCTCCTCTTGGGCCACTAATACTCACCTTTAGAGTGGATGATAATATTGAGCTTGGAAATAAGTGAGGAAGAATAAAAAAAAAAAAAAAAAAAACTAAAAAATGCCCAGCACAGCATAAGAACTCAAGAAATATCTCCCTTCTTCCAATATCAGAAAATTAGAACACCTAAAATATTGCTTGGGAGGAAGTATTATAAAGTAATACACTCTATATAAGAGTATATGTGGTATAGAACATACTGTACCGAGTGTATAGTGGATGGAAGCATTTTGTATATTACATACTGTATACAAGTATACTGCATACTTTACACTGTGTGTGTGTGTGTCTCTGTGTGTGTGTGTGTGTGTGTGTGTGTGTGTGTGCATGAATGATGTATACTCTGGCTGACAAGAAAAAGATTT